CCAGATAGTTTGAATACTAAAAGAATTACCAAAATCAAACAAGAAGACAAGACCCTCTCCACCCCATCCTGTTCCTAATTATATTAGGAAAAAATTCTTTACTGTGAGAGTAGTGAGGCACTGGAACAGGTTGCCCAGGGAAGTTGTAGATGCCCCATCCTTGGAAGTGTTCAAGGCCAGGTTGGATGGGGCCTGAGCAACCTGGTCTAGTTGAACGTGTCCCTGCCCACGGCAGGGGGGTTAGAACTGCATGATCTTCAAGGTTCCCTTCCAATCCAAACCATTCTATGATTCTATGATCCCACAATAGTATCTGAAGGAAAAAATAAAATAACTTTCTGATACAGCTTTCTCTGCTTATGTAAGTGAAATACTGAGGGAAAACTACAAAGTTTGTTTTAACTTACTGCTTTGTTAAAACAAAACAAAAAAATCTCAGTAGTCTAAATTTGGTATTCCCATGAGCTTTGCAGGGAGTATAAATCCACAAAGCTTCAGGTTTTGTGTTTTGTTTTTTTTCCCTGATGCTATCCAGGGATGCTCTCAATAATACATAAGCCTTTGGAAAAAATAGTTTGAAAGCCTCAGTATCTCTGCCTAGCTGCTGATTATGAAAACAGCTAATATAGCAGCTTTTGAGGAATGTAAACTGTATAGAGCACCAAGGTTAGGCAAACGGGAGACGATAATCACAGGTTTGTAAATCTCGTAAGTGGAAAGAGAGTGGCTGGAGGAAGCCTCTGCCCTCGGGAGCTGCCTCGGGCCGCGCCAAGCGGTACACGGCTCGGAACAGCAGCGGGATCAGCGGCGCCCGCTCCATCCCGAGCCCGGCCGGGCACCTGCGGGGCGGCTCTCCGGGCCGGCTCCCGCTGCCATTGGCCTGGCGCCGCTTCCCGCCTCCTTTGAAAGCTTGGGAAGGGCGGGCAGCAGCGACGCTTCGGCAGTCGGGCAGCCAGGCCAGGCCGGGAGCGCTGGACGCCGCAGGTAACCCTGGGCAGCCCGTGGGGCAGCCTTTGCTCCCGGAGTTTTAACTCGAGGGGATTGTAGGTGGGCTCGGTTGGGTTGAGTTGAGTTGAGTGAGCTTCACTGAAGTTTCTTTGCTTGTGGGTTCTTCGTGCTACGTGGTAATGCTAAAAGAAGTCTGTGTGTTTCGTATGGCAGTGCTTGTCTTGGCAGCTTCATGCTTTATAGTAAGTAGTAGACTTATTTGGAGGTTTTCTTTCTTTTCCTTTTTTTTTTTTTTTAATGTTTACGTGGGTTCAGCTTCTATTGCCTTGTTAAGGTAAGCTTGCTATCTGAGCAGATGAACCGGTGCTTGGGCTAGCTGTGATGACTTATAAAGGTGTTTCTTAAGGCCCTAGTAGTAGCAGGCAGTAGTAGGGCAGTATTGTGTACTTTGGGGCTGGTGCTTCCGAAGCAGTAATGGAAAAACTTGTCTTACGATTTCTTTTGTGGCTTTCATCCACTTGTTTAGTTGCCAAAAAATAGTGAATTAATTGTGAACTTAAGAGGTAAGCTTTTTTTGACCTTGTTCTAAAACTCTTGATGAAGAAAAAAAACTAGTGAATGATTGAAATAATAATCTGGAGGCCTAGGGTTCATGCCATTGCTGAAATACATTTAATTCCAAAATTGTAGAATTTATGTTTGTTAGGTGTTGTTAAATATTCAGCAAGTATATGCTGATGAAAAAAATCTCTTTCTGATTTAATATTCTACCAACATTGGGCTTTAGTGTGTTTTATTCTTTCATAACTGGATGGGAATAATAAATCACTTTGGAGTTAGTTTGTCTGTTTCAAGGTAGGAGTATCAACTAGCACCTTCCAAAATACAATAGGGCTGCTATGAGAACCAGGGTACAGAATGTAATGTTAAACCAGAATAGAAATAGTTTGCAGGATTGCTCTTATCTATATGCTACTTGCAGAAAAAGGAAGAATTACAATTTACTATCATTATGGGAATGTATGGTATCCTTCAGTATAAAATACCTATATATGTTTTCATCTGCCCTTAACACAGCTGCAGTGAAGGCTACAAATATGTGTGAGCTCCTTAGAACATGTGTACTTATCCAATTAATTAGTTCTGAAGCTACTTAAGCTGAGCACAAGTACATGTTTTTCCCTATCAAATTTCTGCACAGATGTCTGATATGGCTTAGCAACACAAATGGGCTATTTTTTTTTTTTTTTGGTACTACTGTTTATTCTGTCCATAAACTGTAAAGGCAGGGGAACTAGAAATTTCTATATGGTTTGTTTCCTCCCCCCCACAAACCCCATCTTGCAGCTTCAGTTCTCCCATGTTAGAACTAAGCAGGATTCTGATGGTAGCTGCTTTTGAAAACTGCCTGGGTGTCTCTTTGGAAATAGTCAGAATTTTAATGCACAGGCTGGCTGTGTTCGTTTATAGAATTACTGCTTCCAATAATATCCCTGCTGATCTCATGAAAGGGGGGAAAAGTAAACAGTAATGAAAAAGATACTGGGTTTGTTCCAACTGAAAGGAACAGTATTTTTTTTCAAAACTCACTTCTGTACGCTCTCCCTCCCATCTGCCTCCCTGGGTGGTGAAGGAGATTGTGGCTTGTATGTTAGTCTCTCCATGGAATCATGTATGTGCATGAGAGGTTTTTTCCCCTCATAAGTTATCATTCTGCAAGTCCTGTGTTCTCTCTCATAATTCCTGTCTGAAAACGTGCTTGTGAAGTTAATCTAGTTTAAAGAAAAGATACGTGTTGGTAATTCCTCTGACAAGCTTTGTGACTTTACAAATATGCCACTTGCTTTCAAAAGTTTGTTGTTATGCAGGACTTGTAAACAGTGGTTACCAGATTAGTTCAATACACTCTCCTGCAAGCTGCTCCTCACAGATGCACCTCTGAGCTCAACAGGAGCTCTGTGACTAAGTTCTACTCTTCAATAGGTCATCTGCAAGGATGGGCTTAAAGGTTGGGTGTGAAGTGTAGCCTTGAACAGAGTGAACTCATGTACTGCTATTTTTTTTTTCTCAAATGCAGTGGGAATAATATTTAAAAGTAAAGGCAGTGTTTCAGATTACTTTTACATTTAAATAACTTGGAAAGATGCCACTAAAGTTTCTTGTTTTTCCTTTTAACCTTCCTTAAATGGCTTTTTTTAAATTAAGAAAAATAGGGGGGTGTCTGTTTAGCCTTTGCTATACCTATATGCATATTAGCTTGTGGATTTCTTTTTTAACTCTCATTATTATTTCTACTCTTGAACTGTCAGGTTTTATCCTCTCTGTATAACACTTTGAAATGAGACAAAATTCTGCAAGGGCTTACATGTGATTAAGTGTACGCAATATGTAGATGTCTTCATAACCAGATAAACCCCTGCCCATGGTACCCCTATGGCTTTTTTGGATTTCATTTTAAAGGACCCAGCTATGAGAATTGGTGGGGTGTGCTGGGTGATCACGGCGGCAATAGAGTATGCTGTGAGGTTCCAACAGGCTTCTTTGATTCAGCACTACAGGTGTGTTTGTGCGTTTACCTAGCAACAGCCACAGCAGTAGCCTAGCTGAATTGTTTATCTGGTTATAACAGACTGTTTGCATTAAGCCTGCAGAAGATAAAACTTAGAAATCCTGGCACCTTGTCTGTACCAGTGCTCTGCCTGCCGCTGGTGGATCAGGGTAGCTTCCCTGTCCCACAGAACTCTGAGAGTGCAGAAAATTTTTTCCACCCTGTGCTGGAATAGAGCAGATTGCCCCTTCCCTTCCCCCAAGCTTTTGTGGAAAAAAACAAAGTGCGAGCAACCCAAGCAGAATAGCCAATAGCTGGGTGAAGGGGGCTTTCCAGGGGTGTGACGAACAGAGGGGTCAGGTGCTTTCCTTGAATCCAGGGCTGCGTCCCGGACCGCTGCTCCGTCATGTGCCCGCTGGGCGCTGCAGCCGGGTCACCGTACAGCAGGGCAGGTGTGTTATCGGCCACAGTGAGTTTCGGTGAGGATGAGTTGACACCCTCTTCCCCCTCCCTTCCCCCGCCAATCACGTGTTTCTTACACTGGAAGTACTCCCAACAAAATCTGGCTGCTACGTAACGATGGGGGAACTCTTTTGAAAACAAAAACGGGGGGCGCGGCAAAAGTACCCCTCCAACACCCCCCCCCCCCAAAAAAAAAAGGGGGGGGAAAGAAAAAAAAGCAATAAAAAGACACTCACAAAAAATCCAAACAAAACCCAAGTCCACAGACGCGGGTGAAACCTGTGAAAAGCAGGGGGTTCCGGCGACAGTCATCCGTCACGTGAGCCCACGGTTCGGGGAATCCAATCCCCCGGCCAAGCCGGGAAGCCCCGTCCCTGCGGCGACGCAGGGCTCTGGCCTGGCTGCGGGGGCGGCCCCCCGCACCTGCCGCCGGGCTGGCTGCGGGGGCGGCCGCTGCTCCTCTCCAGCCAGCGTTTTACCGGAGGGGGGGGGGGGGCAGCGCAGGTGTCGGTGTCCCGGTTTGCCAGATAACCTGGCCCTTGCCCGGCGGCGGGGCTGAGCCGCCAGCCCCCAAGGAGAGTCTTGCGTGGTTTGGCCAGGAGCAGGCGGCCGCGGGCAGGGAACAGGGGACCCGGGCAGGGGGATGCCCGGCCGAGGGGGGAGCAGCGACCCCCTCAGTCCCCGCGGAGCCCCCTCGCTCCCCGGGCGGGGGCGGCACCGCCGGGCGGCACCGCCGGGCGGCGCGCGCGCGCAGAGGCGCGGGGCGGGGGGGGGGGGGGGGGGGGGGGGGGGGGGGGGGGGGGGGGGGGCCGGCGCGCGCGGGCGGGGCCGCGCCGGCAGCGCGGTCGGCGGGCGGGGGCTGCGCAGAGGTCCGGCCGGTTCGCCCGGCCCTGCCCCTCGGCGGCGGCGGCGGCAGCGCCGGGTGAGTCAGTGTTTGGAAATGGAGTGGGCGGGCGTGCGTGTAACAGAATGAATGATGTCAGGGAGCACCGCGGCGAGCATGAGGTTCGCGGTAAACACGGCGGCGGCCGCCGCAGCCCCGAGCCAGCGCTGCCCCCGGCGCCCCCCGGCCCGGAGCCGCCCTCCAGCGGGGGAGCGCGCCCAGCTGCGGCTCTGCTGAGGCAGGAAACCTTTCCGAGGAGTGTCGCCTCCGCTGACGCCCTTAAAGCCGGTCCCTTTCGCCAGGAGGGAGAAGAGGCTGCGGCTGGGAGAGGAGCGAATTGCAGGGGAAGGTAGAGATTGTGGCAAACTTTCTAGCTGCTTCTGCGTGCTGCTGCCTCAGTGGTGGGAGTGTCTGGCCATAAGGAACTGCAAAGCCCGAACCTGAGAGCCCTGAGGCTCCAAAAAAGACTTCCATCTGCCTTCGGAGGAGGAACTGCCAGCAGTGCAAGCTGAGTAGGTAAGTTGGGAACGGCACAGGTGGATTAAAAGTGTGGCATACCACAGATACGCTCTTAAAGAGCTGTTTTCACAGAAGACCTCTACGTGTGAATTGGATAGCGACTGGGAATAGCAATACTATACTTGTGGTCTCTTCCGTTTCTAGGGTATGTCTGTTTTACCAGTAAAATAGTCTTATTTTTAGTCCTGAAGAGGCCCCTCTAACTGGGGAGGACACCTGCTGTTTTGATTTCTCTTGCAAATATCTAATTTACAGAGCATACTTAGTTTGCTATAAAATTGTATGTCCTTGATATGGACGATATGTGCATACCACGTAGATACCTAGTTGGACAGGAGGGGACATTCAAAATGTGTGATTTCAGCTCAGGAAGATAAAGTATTATTATAAGAATCATAATGGTGTTACAAAGGTGTTTTGCAGTACGTTTGGGTTCTTTTCCTTGTTGAATGTCTGCTCTGTTGAAACCAGTCTTAAACTTCAAGTGCAGCTAAACTAAACTTCTTGACTTAATGGCAGAGTACAGTCTATTAGCACTGCATGGTTTCTGGCTTAAATTTAGCTAAAATTCCTTGTGGAAAGCAGTTAATGCATTATCTTCCAGCAAGATAATATAGGAGGCAATATAGACAAGGTGTTGTCCAGTTAATGCATTTCTAAACATTTTATTTCATTTGAAGACCTTAGAAAATCAAACACTTGTCTATCCTCAAACCACTTGTCAGCTATGAGTTTATACACATTTAATTATACAAGTGAATAGTTCCATAGATGTATTAGCGTAAACTGAGCAGGTGCGTGATAGTTTGTCTGAGACACCAGGCCTTAGAGGAGTTTTGGCAAGCCTCACTTCAAGTTGTGTTTATTAAATGGTTTGCCCCAAACCAATTTGCTTTCTTTCATTATATTTCATGTAGTTGCTTAGGCGTATTGTTATTTGACCTGGCAGGTTTTTTGAGACTGTATAGGCTTAGATATTTTTTTCTTTGTGAATCCAGTAACTCTCATTCTTTATTTACCCTAACTTAAATGATCTAGGGCTTAATTTACTAGAGAGGTCAATGGGCTTGCTTCCATATTTTTTTTCCATTTAGACTGTTTCTCTAAAATTAGACATGGATTATCGCATTTTACTGAAAAACATATACTTGTCTCTCTCCTTCAGAAAAATATTCAAGTGTACCTTGTGTAGTATGTGCAGTCTCAAAGAGCATTTGGACAAATCAAAGTGCTGGTGGGGAGAAACTTTAGGTGAAAATCTAAGGGGACAATAGCATGGCAGATGAAGGCCCCTAATGAGGTTGATTTCTGTGCTGTCCTTGAAGTGAACTTACACAATGGAGAATGAGAACTTGAAGAAAGCATAGATGGATTATTTTTTTTAACTCTTGGGTTGGTAATCTGAATTAGATTGACTAATTAAGAATGACTCTACCCCTGATTTTTAAAAATTGAGCCTTGGTTGACATGTTAATAAGCATCTATTTTTCTGTATCATAAGTGTGTTGTAATTGTAATATTTTAAGACAAATAAGTTCCAAATTTAATGTTTTAAGTAGACATCAGAAGTATTATTTAAGGGATGCAGTATTGTGAAAAACTTATTATTTCTTTATCAAGTTAAAAAAAACCAACCTACACACATACCTGCTTGTATCTGTGAGAGCTGAATAAGAGACATAATCTTAAGTATATTTTATTCCAAACACCAGAGTTCTTTATATATAATATATTAATATGCCAAATAAAAGTATGAAGACTGAAAAGTAGTGTATTGACTTTTTTTTAAGTATTAACAAAATAAATATTAAGGGATGGATTTTAAAAATGAGTGATCTTTCTTAAGGACCAGAAAATGTGAAAGAAGGTTTTTGAAGAAATGGCTCATTACAGTTAAGTCTTCCAATATAGAAATGGACTTTGAAGATACATATATTTGTAATATAATTGCATACATCTTCTGTTTGTCTTTTTTCCCTAATTTTGATGAGCTGTTGGCCTGCAATGTTATTTGATACTATTTGCGGGGAGTGGACAATACAGATGCTGTGACATATTATTTAGTATGGATATGGTATTGCAGGAGTCCGAGCAGATGCTGGGAAGATTAATGTAACACTAGGTCCACTGTCTTCAGAGATCTCTCTCTGCTGGGAGAACTGTTTGTACCATGGACACCACTGTCCCCAAAGATGCTGCGAGCACTAAGAATGTCGGGCATCCAGGCACCACTGTCCCAGCAGATTCTGAAGAGCTTAAGAGCTGCTAATGGAAAAGTTTTATGTAACACAGATAGCTCTGTCTTGTCCAGAACAGACTTTGTTTGAGAGGTATTTCTTAACTGTACTGAAACCCGACTGTTCTAGTGAGCCTCCGGAACGTTAATAACCACAAGTCTCTGCTGTACAAGGATGCTTGCTTGAGTTATTGCTTTTTCTGCTCCAGAATAGGTCTTGTAGGGATATGGGTAATACAAAGAATAAAGTACTTACCATTATAGTTTTTGAAGTCTACTTTATAGCTCTTGATAGGAATTTGAATAGGATCTAACTGTATACTAAAACTATATCAGCTTTAGGAAAACCTGTTACTTACCCACTTAGCTAACATATATGCAGTATCTGTAATATTGCTGTGCCTTCGGGGTGTCCTTGTAGTTGCTGAGTAAAACTTCCTGCCTGTGTGGTAAGTGGGCCCTCTGGTTTGTAATCTGATGGCATAAAAAAATATACTGAAGTCTACTCTGTTTTACAGGTGAAGAAATAATTTGTCCAAGTATCTGAAGCTTTTGAGTTAATCATTGCAAATAGAATGGTTCTTATTGAAATAGTGTTCAGGTCTGGATCTTCAAACAAGCAGTTCTGAAGCATGATTACTCAGGAAAACTTAACTTCATTCTTACAAGGGAATTTTATAGCACAAAAGTACATATTCAATTTTTAGTGATATAATTTTGTGGATAAAATAGTTCCTCAGATGTGTAACCCTAGAATGGGAGATTATCCTGTGCATTTGAAGGTATCTGAACAAGAAAGCAGCTGTCTTGCTGTCATTTACCCTCCCCAGCTGATGCAGGTTAACTTGCAACTGCCGTGTATAAATTGCAAGGGCATCCTGCTTATTCTTTATAAAGTTCCTAAACAAAATTGAAGTTGCTGCTCTCAGTGCACCTGTGAGGATTCCCCAGGCTGAGCTTTGCAGCCGCATGTTGGCAATTGTTTTCCTGCTCGTGGCTTTTAGAGTTCATCTCTTCCTGCTTCCTACTGTAGTTTTTGTTTTCTTTATATATTGAGATTTCCTTAGGCTGAATCTTACTGTAATCCTGTGCAATGCGGTAAGCTTCACATTAAGCTTTGCAATGTTTTTGTGTGTGTGTGGTTTCTTATGCAAAGTAGATCACCTGTTCTTCCTTGAGGAAATGCAGAGCCTCTTGGGTGCAGCACTGAATGTTTTGAAAAGTTGCAAGAGTGAAGTTTTAAGTACTAATACAGATAAGGGAAAAAAACCCCACCCTATTAGTAAAATCCAAAATTAGTATGTTTATTCAGTTTTTGGGTTTAGGCAAGTTCTGATAGCAAAGTGTCACTGTGAGCTCTAGCAAAACTTACTTGAGTTTGCCTTGGTAGAGTGTAACTTACAGAAGGGTGAGGTGTGTGGCTTGGGTTTTTTTTTTTTTTTTCCTTCTACTGGTTCATAGGTCAGTGATATTCATGCCTCTAGTGCTAGAACTTAAATTTAGTTGTTTTTCTTTTAAAATTTCAGTTAACTATAAAATAAATGGGAGTTTAACCCTATCAAAGTGTAGAAATCTGTCCAGCCTCAAAGAACTAGCCTCTGGCAGAGCCTGTCTAGAACCTGAATCTTGTAAGAAAGATCTTAGAGACCTAAGCGAAAGGTAATGGTTTTCCTTTATTGAAGTACTAATACAAGTGGTTTGGCATATGCTACTTCCCCAATATAGCTTTAGTAGAACACTTGCATCTGTAAAAGTCCTTTATTAAGAAGTCACCTGCTTTCAGTGCTTGTTTTTTCATGTTGAAATATGTTCGGATTTCTTAATTTTTCTCTTTAGAGTTTGTGATCTGCTTAGCCTCCTAAGATCTCAAACTGTTGTGTGATGAGTGCTGAATGACTTCTCTCAATTAGTTTCAGTCATGTGAAATGTACATAACAGTGACAAAATATTTACTTATGCACACACCCAAGTTCCTGCTTATATTCACTCTAGTGCTGGTTAGTGGAGCAGAACTAAATAAGGAGACAGTCTTCAGGCTTTTTTTCTAGTTCCAGCCATGATATGCTTAAGTCTTATCCAAGAAACTGAATTCAACTCTGTATGCTCCATTTAAGACTGAGTTACTGCTAAATCAGAAATAATGAGACAGTCTCCTTATTTAGGTGACATAATTTGCTAAGAAGCTGCAGCAGTAGAGAAGGTTGTGCCTCAGTCATTAATTCTGTCTTCCATCTGGAGGGCACAATCTAATCCTGTAGCTAGTTGATGGTTCTAGTACACTTCTACAGTAGTTACTGCTCATTTTATTTTTTTTTTGTAGGGGGGGTTGGTGTTTTTTTCCTTTTTTTTTTTTTTTCTAACTTCCCCCACATCAACCTTGTAAATGGAAACAGCACTTGCTGTCTGTGGATGCTTTATAAGGGTGCCAAATACCATTGCCCTGTCTTGATTTGAGGCTGAACACAGATTATATTGAAGCAAACTGTTCTCATCAGTGCCATTGCCTCAAAAGGACATTTTAAAAGCTGGAATGCTGTGTTACTCTCTTAACAGTGCTAAAACAACACCATGAAGGATTCTGTTTCATCCTCTGCCAGCTATTCTAGTTCAAATTTATGTATTACAATTTCAGTAAAGAATCAGAAGCACTTCAACTGAAACTCTGAAAGCACTTCATTTTGTTTTGGTCTGTTTTTTTTTTTTTTTTTGTGTAATACTGAGAGAAATTAATTGTTATGATTCTGCTTTAGTTCATACTTTT